CTGAAGTCTTCATGACATCGAGGACACTTTGCCGACAGACAACACCAGCAACTGTAACTGTAACTATAATTAGTTACTTGCCTCAGAAAGATGATTAGGCCACCTAGAATTAATTCGTTGTTTCGGGTCACTTCACTCATCCGTACCAGGGTCGGTCGGTCGGGTTTATTTTTTATTTCATTTTATTTTTTATTTTGGTTACTGCCATGTACATGTATATGCGCATATCGAATAGCGTTTGTCCATCAAGCCAGTCGATTTTAAAGGGGAAGTTAAGGCAAAAATTAAAATTTCACCAGTTGTAGTCTTCGGGGTGCTGAGTCGAATGGTCGTGGTCCGAGGAAGCTGAGACGCTTCCTTCCTACTTGAATCCCAATCGAACTCGCGTACTTCCACCGAAACTGGGTGACTGCGCCCTACTAGATGGGGATTTGTATGCAAAATCTCACTAAAAGCGCCATTGCGTTCTTATAAAAGCACGGATGACCGCGATTGGCCCATATGTTGTAGTCTTTTGGACGCTGAGTCGACTGGTTTTGGTCCGAAAAGGCTGCGATGCAGCGTTCCTCCTTTATTCCCAATCGAACATGGTTGAACAAGCGGTCACGTGCTCCTGCGTACACCAGTCACCTGGTCACCGTGCCTGCAGGGTACAACTTACTAGCCTGTTTGACCTTTTTTGGGTGCAGTCCTGTCACTCGAGTTGAACCCGAGTTGAACCTTGGTGTGAAAGTTGTCACCTGCTGGCGTGGTGACCAGGTGATTTGGGCACCCAGGACCACGTGACCGCTTCTTCAACCATGTTCGATTGGGAATAAAGGAGGAACGCTGCATCGCAGCCTTTTCGGACCAAAACCAGTCGACTCAGCGTCCCAAAGACTACAACATATGGGCCAATCGCGGTCATCCGTGCTTTTATAAGAACGAAATGGCGCTTTTAGTGACATTTTGCATACAAATCCCCATCTAGTAGGGCGCAGTCACCCAGTTTCGGTGGAAGTGCGCGAGTTCGATTGGGATTCAAGTAGGAAGGGAGCGTCTCAGCTTCCTCGGACCACGACCATTCGACTCAGCACCCCGAAGACTACAACTGGTGAAATTTTAATTTTTGCCTTAACTTCCCCTTTAATCATGACTGTAGTCTAGACGATCCAGCGCAGTCATTGTCCCATCACAGACCCAGGTCCCCTCCAGGACCAGACCTTGGCCTCGCTGGCAAACGAGTCTGAGGAGCAGCTCTCACCTTGAAAACGTCTGTCAAAGAGCGACGCGGTGGCGGACCTGATGCTGTTTCAGGACCGATTGCGGATCGGAAGACAACATCGTCACCAAGCGCCTCATCCTGTTATTTTATTTGGCTGCTTCTGAGGTCGATGTCTGGACTGCATGCTAGCTATAAAGACTATTATTATTAGGCGCGTGTGTACATGTTAGTACAGTCAGTCATGTACATTTGCATGCACTATAAAAAAAAACATTGTGCGGTCGGGTGAAAAAAGACGGTCGGTCGGGTGACCCAAACAACGAATTAATTCTGGGTGGCCTTAGGCCATCCAGATGGACCAGAATTAATTCGTTGTTTCGGGTCACCCGACCGACTGTCCTTTTTCACCCGACCGCAATTATTTTTATAGTGCATGCAAATGTACCGACTACACTATGTACAGGCTAGGTGCGACCCTAATAATAGCAGTCCAGATACATGTATCGACCTCAGAAGCAGCCATGGCTAGCCAAATGACAGGATGCAGCGCTTGGTGACGACGTTGTCTTCTATCTCCGATCCGCAATCGGTCCTGAAACAGCATCAGCTCCGCCACCTTGTCGCTATTTACAGAAGTTTTCAAGATGAGAGCTGCTCGTCAGACTCGTTTGCCAGCGAGGCCAAGATCAGGTCCTGGAGGGGACCTGGTCCCCTGGATCTGATGGGACAATGACTGCGCTGGATTATCTACACTACAGTCAGATTTGATCGACTGGCTAGATGGACAAAAGCTATTCGATGTACATGTATGCACATGGACGTCCCCAATAAAAAAATAAATAAAAATAAATAAACCCGACCGACCGACCCTGGTACGGATGAGTGAAATGACCCGAAACAACGAATTAACTTCCCCTTTAATTCTAAGTGGCCTTGGGCAGAAATCAAATTTCCACCAGTTGTAGTCTTCGAGGTGCTGACTGCTGAGTCGAATGGTCTTGGTCCGAGGAAGCTGAGACGCTCCCTTCCATTACCGACCATTGACCTAATGACAATTCACTGAAAAACACTTCACCACAAGACAAGTCACAGAATGGACAACCCACCGACTGGAAACTTTACCGAAAGACACTTCACAGAAAGGCATTTGACAGAATGGCGATACATGTATCACGGACAAGACAGCTCACCGAAATTCCACTGTATTTTAAAATGACTGGTTTGTACAGGGCCGGCGGAACCGGTCAGGCTGGTCCGGCCATGGCCGGACCACTTTCCCAGCTGGATGGTCCATGTGATTCGTGCAAAACCGGTGTAAAAAATCCAGAGGTACATTGCTCGACTGTACTGCCGGCGTGTGATGTGCTTCGAAGTAGCTCAGGACTCCATGACCGGCACTGTATGGCTTGATATGGATATAAAAAAATTGTGTTCGTGTTCTTTTACTATAATTTTCTGGAGCCTTAAGAGGTGCCCAAATTCGCTCTATTTCATGTAAATTTTAAATATTTCTCCCGGGGGAGGTGCCCCGGACGGTCGGACCCCCTCAAAGGTTGGCCGGACCACTCCAAAACTCCTTCCTCCGGCCCTGTTGTAGTCACGCTATTAAACTAACTTTACCTCTCAGGTTTATCTTTGCTGGCTTGCTTGCTTGGTTGCCTGTATTGCTGAGGGAATAATTATAATTATGCTGGTTTGTATTTGTGGGTCCCCATGGTGCCTGGGCCAAGCGTACTCATCCGGCGAATATGTTTGAATAATAACTTACTTCACAGGCTCTCAGGCTGTGTTTACATGAGGCGTTTCAACCCGGGTTGAGTTCGACCCGGGTCAGATTTCAACCCGCCATGTGCACAAAGTGAATGGCGCGTTTACATGACGCATTGCGCTTGACCCGGGTTGAAATTTCGCCCCGGGTTGATTTCAACCCTCCCCCCAAGGGGAGGGTTGAAACCAACCCGATTTCAACCCTCCCCCCAAGGGGAGGGTTGAAACCAACCCGGGTCAAGAAAATCGTACAAACGTACTTCTGTGCGTATCTCGCGCCAGGTTTGAACAGCACTGCAGATGCAAATTTCGCGCGAACGGATTCACGTGACCATGCAGGACTGTAGAAGTGGACTTTTGGCGGCATATCAGTATTTGACCCGGGTCAACTGTCTTCATGTAAACGCTCACCTCTTTTGTCTATCGTACAGACTTTCAACCCGGGCTGAACTCGACCCGGGTTGAAATTTCTCATGTAAACACAGCCTCAGTTTGGCAGCGCTGAAAATCTTGCGCTGACGTACTGGCGCTGGTTGTACGTAACGTCGTTATTTGGCTTAACCCACCTTTCAGTGCGAAATGCCACACTGATATCCACACTCAGGAATTCCACACTGATATCTATGAATGGAGTTGTCATTGTGTGCAGGTTGTCAAATTTCATTGTCTTTTTGTTTAAACAAATTTGTTTGTTTTGTTTTGCTTTTTCTTTAGTTGTTGTGTCAGGCCAGTGATATCATGGTCTGTGATTTCCCGTATAAGAGGCATACCGGTATTCAAAAAGTACTTCAAAAAGAAGTATATCTATGCGATATCAGTGCACGTCGATGCGTTCTTCTTTCCACTGGTATACGCACTTTTGCCCAACAACACACCACCGATATAATTATGAGTCAATGACAAGATATAATTCATTAATGCGGCCAGTGAGCTAAAGCACGACACTCCGTGACAAATTGGTGTCGGCTGGCACCCGATCCACCGCGTCCAATATTGTTCACTTTATGGTCCCATTATAATTAAATCTTTCCTTTGTATGCTACTAGCACACATGTAGTAACCATGTCAACAATTATTATATTTTACATTCTCTCATGCATGTTTATACATTCTTATTTTTGTATAGTCATACGACACATCCACCCCCCCCCCCCCCCCCAGCACACACGCACACGTGTACACATGCAGCACAACTAGCATGCCCAGTATGTAAAACAAGGAGAAAAATGACAAGTGCATGCAACTGAGTGCTGTCCGCACACACCCAGCAGGTCAAGGACCTCATTTGCTTGTACAACTCATTGATGCAAGCGCTAGCCAGCCACATGCCGGATACGACGAAGCATTTTGTACACATTTTAACCAGTTTGTACACAAAGTCATGCACCGGTATGCGGATCGCGAGGTCCGGTTATGTTGTAGGCATAACATATGCTGCACATCGGTAACCAGCGATTTTCTTCCGGATGGCGAGGGATCCGGATAAACGAGGACCGGATAAACGAGGACCGGATAAACGAGGTCTGACTGTACTACTATTACTACTACAGCATGACTACCCCATAGGGCCACGTGACTCCCTTGTGACAGGGAGCCAGAGTCAGGGTAAGAGAGTCAATGCTGGCAAGTCACATGCCGGGTGAGATCTCGTGGTCGTGGACACACACACACACACACACACACACACACACACACACACACACGCACGCTAGCACGATCCTGCAAGCATGCCCACGTATGTACACACACATACACACACATACACACACACACACACACACCGCACATCGGTGTCTAAAGCTTGATTCACATGAACTCTTCATTTCGTGTACGGGAAACGCGTCGCAGCATCGCGAAAACATTGACTTGAGCTCAACGTCTTGGGTAATTGCGCGATAATTTTCCAGTACGCGAAATGAGGTATGAATCAGCTTTAACAGCACAGAGGTCACGTGACCAGCATGACGCTACACTGTCCACTGAACAATGCAGTGTGCCAGTACACAAACCTGTCTACAGTGTGGAGATATTGAACTACACAAGTACTCGAGTACCGTACTCAGTTTAATGATAATATTATACATTCATGAATTGGAGAACAGCATCCAGTTTTACTATCACTAGTATCAGCTATATGTGGCAAGAGAAGTAGTCAAACACATCACTGGTAATAACATATCACCTGAGTTATGGGAAACAGTAGGAAGAAAACGGGTGCAGAATGGAGTGGAAAATAATAATTTTATGTAGTCCATTGCATGGACAGCAGCAAAAACGAGGCCAGTGGTTATAATAGTGCAACATGGATACGCAGACGAGTATTTGTGTATGAATGTGATCATGAACAAACACACACATCAAGTACCGGTAAACCAGGGTCTTTTCATTTCTCTAGTGAAATTGAAGTAGTCACCAGCAGTTATTACCGCAAGAAAATACCATGAAAACTTCCCTAGCCTAGCTGTGTGTACAATTAAAAATACACAATGATATGTGTGGTTGGGGAAGGATATAGGGGGAGGGGTGATAAGGGGGAGGGGGAGGGGTGATAAGGGAGGGGGGAGGAGGAGGGATGATAAGGGGGAGGGGCAGGGGCGTACGCCGCTCGCCTCCAGGAGTGGTTCCCATGCCACCTGATGAACCAAAATTCCACACAAATTCAATTGAAGTGCTATTTTTCGTATCCCACGGCCGGAGTTTCTGCATCTTCTTCTCAGACTGGGTGAAATTAACATCCACAAGCTGCTGGACGATGTCATTGCTACGCACTTTTGACTTTACGTTTTATGGATGTTTTGTTCAGCATGACGGTTGCATGCAGTTTTGAAAGCTGCCTAAGTTTCCAATCATCTGGAGCAAACATCACACAGGGCAAGCAGAAGCCACCATTGCACGCCGGTCAAAAGACTACCCAGGGTAACTCCTCTAATAACAAGGATAGTTGAAAGTGGCGCTGTTTCCCATCCGTCTGGACACGCACAGGAAATGAAATCCTTCGCCTTCGGTGGCGCACAATGATTATCGACGACGGAGATCTTTTCCGTGTCCGGCAAATTTCGGGGAACTGGATTCCACTGTGGACGTCGACGTTCAGAATATCCCTTCCAACACACTCCCATGTCACTAAAGTAAGTATTGGATGATCCAGCAGCTTCCAACAGCGGTCGCTCTACAGCTTCGCCGACAATTTTTTCCGCAGCGCTGCTCGTTGCATGCAGACTTCGCTTGCAAGTCAGGTGCGTCTGCATTCTCATCTATCGCGTGACCTTTGCCACTAGCACTGGCTACATGCTTTCGGCCTGCTGCTCAAAATAGCTCTGAATAGAGCTCTGGCCCTCTGGATGTCGACGCTTCATTTTTCTTTTCCACAAAGCGAAAGCATCGTTCGAAACACGACCAACTTTGTCGAAACAAACTGCAAAGGAAAATTTGACTCTGAGATCGAGGAATCCGGCGATGTACCTAGTTCAGTTGAACCCAGTTCAGTACGCTGTTACGACTTTCACACCTGGGCTACAGTCACCGTCCTCGGACCGTCAGGCGGACTCGCACTGCATGCACTTGCGCTGCTATCGATAGCGCACTGCGAGCGCTGGGCCTGGACCAAAAACTTCTCTGTACCCATATCGAAGTTTTTTTACTGGTTCCCGGGCATCCCGGGAACCGCCCTATGTACGCCCCTGAGGGGTGATAAGGGAGGGGTGGGAGGGGGGGGGGGGGGGGGACAACGTTACTTCTCCGACAAGGAAGGTAGAAGTTTCAAGACCAAAATAAAAACAATTGAGAAGAGAACAATTATTGATGAAATGGATATGTTCCATCTTCATTCACCTTGTGTACTGTCTGAACAGATAGACATGTACAATGTACATCTTGACAATCCTCTGCATTCTGCATTCAACACAATCAAACAGAAGACAACAAAACAATGACATCAACGTATTACATCATCATCGACCAGCTGATGTGATGCACGAAATCATGATTACATACCAGGAACTACCACTATCAGTTTGTATGATTGTTTTTAATAAATAACAGCATTGGCAGGTTACAAAGAACAAACATTAATTTCTGCATTTCCTGGATCTCAGCAAGAAGGGCATACCGATGTATACACAATGATTTGACTGTGTATGGATGGATAGCAGTACTTGAAAGATAGCACCGGTCTCAGCACCGGTCTCAGCACCGGTCTCAGCACCGGTCTCAGCACCGATCTCAGCTAGTACACTTCCTGTTCTCTGGTACCCGACAGTAGATGGGTTGTGCACAAAAGAAAATTCGTAAGACCATGCCCGTCCGGGTTCGAGAAACGAAAGTTGCCGCGAAAATTCGTCCAAACGCGACCGAAACAGAGCAGATCTACGAAACTAGTTTTCGTCATATGCAGTAAGCAAAAATTCAAATTATCGTGTCCGTTCCCGAATGGAACTCATGACGGCCACTAACACCCGGTAAACCCTAGAGGCAGATGCAGCGCTGCAGCCTACAGTTAACTGGGAACTTGTGGCCAGGCACATGGGGTACATTGATACAGCTAATGGCGTTTCTCGTCACTTGTACCAGTGGTTGTGAGACTTATCCACTCACCCCCCACCGTCCTATGCAGTACATTGTACATACTACTCCCTGTCTTGACTCTATTCGTACCCGCAGCGCTAGCATCGGCCCAATACGAAAAAGTTCGTACGTTGTGCGCAACCTCAAGGCTAACGAATACCGTACTCCTTTAATTGTTTCCTTAAAAATTCGTTACCGGGGAGGGGGGGGGGGGGACTTGGACCCGTTTGAAAACAGAACACGGGATCACTTGTAAACCGGTTGGGAGTATTTTACATGACATGTGGAGTACTGCAGGCACATGCAGTTACGTGGGCAGAGTGTCCAGTGTACATTGTCTATACATATACAGCTGGGAGTAGTACAGTGTTGCTAATGTGTGTACAGTGTTGCTAATGTGTGTATAGTGTTGCTAATGTGTGTACAGTGTTGCTAATGTGTGTACAGTGTTGCTCAATGAAATCCAATAGAGTCACTCTAGTTCGCGCCTTGCATCATACCGCAGCTCAGTGTTCACAGGGCTATGACTGAACAACAGCAGGCGTGTACTTGAGTGAAGTGACTGGATTTCATTCAGCACTACTCTACATAAGCCGTATAAGCTGGGGTTGAAACCGTGCTTCTATTCAAGTTATGCTTCTATTGAAACCATGCAGTTCTACATGTGAACATCATCAATGTACAGTGTACAGCATACATTGGCACACATGTAGTCAGCTAGTACATGTGATTACATTCAAATCAGGATTCTGTGCCATGACTGAGCTTTGGAAAATCAGCTTCTATTCCAGTCATGCTTCTATACAGGTCATGCCTTTCTACGTGACACTACAGTGTATGGTGCTGGTAGTGGTTGACAAGAGCAGTTCTGTATAGACATACACACATCATCAGAAAACCTTACCTTCTAGTAATGAACAGTAGCCAGTAATGTTCAGGTCTCCTACATCAGCAACCTGATCATCCACAACACAGGTAACCATAACAACAGCACCTGAAGAAACATGAGCCATGGCAGGCACAGTAACAGCCGCAGAACCAGCAGCAACAACAACAAAGGCAGCGATAACAGCCGCAGAAACAGCAGCTGCAGCAACAACAGCAGGAGAAAGAAGTCACCGAGTTAGCAACAGCATCAACAGCAATAATAGCCACAGCAACATCAGGTGCAATAGCAACAGCATTGTGCAGGCGGATAAGCAGAGTTGCAGGTGAAGGCACACACACACACACACACACACACACACACACACACACACACACACACACACACACACACACACACACACACACACACACACACACACACACACACACACACACACACACACACACACACACACACACACACACACACACACACACACACACATAGTTGTACACACATTGCTGTATGAAGGAGTGGTCTAAACATTCACAGTTCAACACTCCAGGTCATGATGCATGGACAACACACGGAGTAAAGCATATGAGAGAGTGAGATGAGTAGAAAGGGAAATTTGGAAATAAAGTCATTCCAATGTGCACCATACTGACTACAAAGTCTACAATACAATTACACTGGATCTTTGACTCCTGCCGGGGATGGGGGAGAGAGGGGAGTGGGGGATGGGGGAGGGAGGGGAGTGGGGAGGGGGGGGGGGGGGAGAGCGCTAAGAGATGTGTGAGGAAATAAAATTACAAACAAACTGTACCTTTCCAATATGAACCATACAGTCTTCTGTTCAGTCACCCAAACAAATCATTTCCACAACTAGAAGATGTCCTGCAAGACCACAGCAGAAGCACCTACAGCAGTAACAGCAAACACAGCAATGTGTCGAGAAATCACCTCTGAACCACTCACAACAGCAAACATAGCAATGTGTCGAGAAATCACCTCTGAACCACCAATAACAGCAAATCTAGTAGCAACAACAGCAGCAACAATAGCTGCAACAATAGCTTATTGGCAATGGTACCATCGTGAAAATATAGAATTCAAATAGCTGCAACAACAGCAAGACTAATAACACCAACAGCAAAAGCAGCAGCAACAGCGACAACAGCACCAGAAACAGCAACAACAACAGCAAGAGAAAGAGCAGCAGCAGCAACAGCAGCAACAAGAGCAGCAACAACAGTAGCAGCAGCAACAGCAGCAACAACAGCAACAACAGCAAAAGCAGCAGCAGCAACAGCAGCAAAAACAGCAGCCACAACAGCAGCAGCGACAACAAGAGCAGCAACAGCAGCAACACAAACAGCAGAAACAGCAGGAATAACGACAACAACAACGGCAGCAGCAGGAGCGGAAACAACAGCAGTAGTAGCAACAGAAGAAGCAGCAGCAACAGCAACCGTAGCAACAGCAGACACAGCGACCACAGCAGCAACGGTAGGAACAGCAATAGCAGACACAGCAGCAATACCAACAGCAGCAATAGTAGCAACAGCAGCAACAACAGCAGTAGCAGCAGAAACAGCAGTAACGGTAGCAACAGCAATAGCAGACACAAGAGCAGTACCAACAGCAGCAATAGCAGCAGCAGCAACAACAGCAGCAATAGCAGCAGCAACAACAGCAGCAATAGCAGCAGCAAAAGCAGCAGCAGCAACAGCAGCAGCAATAGCAGCAGCAGCAACAGCAGCAGCAACAGCAGCAGCAACAGAAGCAGCAACAGCAGGAGCAGCAGCAGCAGCAGCAGTAGGAGCAACAGCAGAAGCAACAGCAGGAGCAAAAGCAGCAGCAGCAGCAAAAGCAGCAGCACCAGCAGGACCAGAAACAGCAGCAATATCAACAGCAACGACAACAGTAGCAACAGGTGAAGATAAAACAATCTGCAGTCCTTTCCCCAGTCCTTTTCCCAATTCCACCTGTTTTGATTATAAGTTTGAACACATCTAAACAGGGAAAGAAGAGAGGGGCAAGATATTGTAGTTAACAATAAGATTATATTTTTCTACAATCTGTACCTTTCTGCATTGCAGCAATATCATCCAGGTATGTGTACGTCATCAGAAACCTCACTGATCTGCATACATCTGATTCCTGTTGCCCAGGACCAGAGATGAAGCAGAGGAATAGTACAGCTACTGACAACACCATGAGTCATGATCTCTATCACAGCAGCATCACACTCTCAGCAACTGTACTAGCAACTGCAACTGCAACAGAGGGATAAACAGGCAAGCAGCGGAAACAACAACAGCAACAGCAGCAATAGCATCCGCAGCAGAAGCAGCATGACCAGCACAGCCAACACCAGCAATAGCAGCAATAACAGTGTCAAGACGAACAGCAGCAGCAGCAGCAACAGAGACAGACACAACAGTTTGAACAAGCAGAGCCACCATTCCTTGCTGTCACGAGAAGTAGAGTTTGGAGAGAATGACAGGAAAGAGAAGGAATGAAGGCGTACCTAAAGTGCAAACAAAATGTCTCTTCCAACCCTGTGTATAGCTGGACATGAAAATATACACAGAGAGGCTTACGTACATTGTAGACAAGAGTGGTGACAAGAGTGGAAACAACAACAGCAGCAGGATCCGCAGCAGCAAAAGCAGCAATAGCAATAGCATCCGCAGCAAGAGAAGGAATGAATGAGTCCGTAGAGTGGAAACAAAACGTCCCTTCCAACCCTGTGTATAGCTGGGCATGTAACGAGGAGAAGTTGAAGTGAAACAATTATTCCATGCACAATTCTCCCATTATACAATGCTATTCAGGGGTGGATCCAGGATTTTTCCAAGGGGGGTTCAGTCTTCTTCCGCCCTTATAAAGGGCGAAAGAAACGGGCTTTTCCGAAAAGGGCCAAAAAGGGCGAAAAAAGGGCGGGCACCTTTGGGAAAGGGCTAGAGGATAGGCGTTTTGATCCCATTGTCGAGCGCTCGAAAGCAGGTAGTGCTTCAGCCATTTCAAGGCAGTGTTGCTGCGCTAATTCTCCGCAGAGGTGACGGGTAGTGTTGAAGCAATCCGGAGGAGGACGTGGATGTTCGGGAAAACATCAGCATCGCAATGCACAAGAGCTCGTGGGGTAGCGGGAAGTGCACGAGACTTCTCTGCTGCGTCCTTCCATTTCCTGACCCACTTTCGGATGTCAGTTGATATAGTTGAAGAGTTTGGCAGATCATCAGAGTACGTGTCGACCAAGCGTTGAATGTTGGCAAGTAGGCCTTTCCCATATCGCCCGGCCGAAAATTTCGCCGAAAGTAGACTTTTCAGAATATCGCCGATCTTTTCGCCGAGTTCTGAGATTTTACCAAGAAATCGCCGAATATACATGTACATGTAATAATAATCGACGTGGAGACAACAATTTTATAATAGCAATAAAAAGAACAAACTCTGCAGTCATCGCCACACTACAACGAAGTCATGAAAGTTTACCAGAATTAATTTTCTTGTCACATTCATCAGTGGAAAGTCGTGACTGAAGAGTAACCATGCTGAACAATGATTAAATATACATTCAATGATGTGTTACGAGAACAAAATACAGTGCCAAAATAGAAAGAGGGAAGGTGAGACAATAGCAGTGAAGTGAGAGCTAAGTGCAACGGTGGGTGAAAAACTAATAATTATAACGCTAAAACTGTGTAGTGAGACAAACAATCATGCTGTGCACCTACGTAATAATAATATCTTTATTAGGATGACCCAGAGGCTTGTCGCCTATCAATACCTTATTCCTTGGACTTTTGCTGACTTGGCTCCTAGACTACAAGTACAAGGGGTTCACCGCTTTGAAGGGTGTACATGTACATGTACATGTACATGTACCGGTATATGTATGTGTACCGGTATATGTATGAGCTAAAGTGAAAGTAGTACAATGTACATGTTTTGCAGGGTCGTGGGCAACTGGGCATGACCGCTCGTGTGCGCCTGCGTCATGGCCCGTGGGCGTTTCCCAAATCTGCCGGCCGAAACATTGGCCGAAAATAGTGGTTTTGAAGAAATCACCGATCTTTTAGCCTAATACGCAATTTTCGCACTGAATTCGCCGAAAATTGATGTTTTAGTGCCTCAATAGCATGCAAATACAATTTCTGTAGCCATTATCTGCGAAAGGTGGCTGCAACTTTAGAGCCGAATTTCCACCTTTTACAGAAATTTTCAGCCGATTCTGGCGATTTTTTCAGCCGATCGAAAAGCCGAAAAGGCCAAAACAAATGGCCGATTTGGGAAAGGCCTATTGGCAAGGTGTTCGTCTGAGGATCATATCAATGTACATGTATCAATGTAACATCTGCATGATTCAGCTCGGGCTATATATGCGCTACGGCAGGATCCTAGGAGCAATTCGCAATTCGCAATTCGCAATTCGCATTTTTTGTAAAAAAAAAAAATAAAAAAAAAACTGCACCATGGTCGAAAAAATTTAGGGGGTTCGTTCGAACCCCCCGAACCCCCCCCCCCCTGGATCCGCCCCTGCTATTCCATACGAATATGGATGTCGTGTGATGGGGAGGTGAAGGGAGCGGGGTTGGGGGTGCTAACAGTACAGGGGTGACAGTTAATTAAAACAAATTACCTTCCATTTCTGAACCATCCCGGCATCCGTCCATCAGTCAACAGATCACTTTGCATATGGAGACCTTGGCAGAACAACCCGCTGCAATAAGAGCAACCACGCCAACAACCAAGCAACAGCAGCAGCAGCAACAACAACATTAGCAAAAGCAACAGCACAGCAACAGCACAGCAACAGTACAGGTCTTGCCAGGACAGCAACAGTACAGGTCTTGCCAGCACAGCAACAGTACAGGTCTTGCCAGGACAGCAACAGTACAGGTCTTGCCAGCACAGCAGCTACATTAGTTGGCAGCACATCAATAGCTGCAGTAGCACTATCACCAGTATAGACACACTTGCAGTGGCAGTATCACCAGCAGTAAACGTTACATTCAGAAATGACAGTACATGACCAGCCGTCTTCAAGTTCTCACCAAAACTACCACAGTGTGGTCATGTGACCGGGGATTATTTTCAAACCAGATCCGTGCTATACTAGTTTAAACCCACCCATATATGGAAACAGGAGACGGGCAAGGGAAAGTAGCTGACAAAAAGAAATCCTTCACACACACACACAACCTGTACCTTTCTAAGACTCAGCTCCGCCAGAAAAGGAAGTGACTGCCTGAAGTAACATCAACAGCAGCCACAGAAACAGCAGAAACAGCAGCAGTAGCAGTAGAGTTAGGAGGCAGAAATAGCAGCTACAACAGCAACAGGAGCAGCAGCAGAAACAGCAGCAGCAGCAACAACAGCAAGAGCAACAACAGCGAGAAGCAACAGCAGCAACAGCAGCAGCAAAAACAGCGACAGCAACAGCAGCAGCAACAACAGCAGCAGCAACAACAGCAGCAGCAAGAGTAACACCCAAACACATACACACCTGTCCTGTCCTGTCCTATCGAGCCACTGCCACAAGGGTCACGTGGGCCTGGAGTAGCAACAGGGAGAGAAGAGGAGAACGCTGTCCCACGGCGTCCAGGACACAACAAGAGGTCGTCAGGATTCAGGTCACCTACGACTTTTACCCCTAGACTGACGTATGGCCGGGGGAGAACCTGAGCAGCGGTGTCTATTCCAGCCCTGGACCGAACGCAAGCAGCGGGCGCAGGACGCACAGTGCGCGCCACAACACGCCTCCACTGCGGCTGGGGACTGAGCCACACACTTGTGACGGGCAAGGCCAACACACACACACACACACAAACACACACAAACACACACACACACACACACACAGGAGCAGCAACAGTAGCACAGAAAGCACAGCACAGAAAGACAATGGAGTCAGGAGAAATAGCACCACCAGTAGTAATATCAATGGTTTAATAATACTTCAGAGATTGCCCACTCGTATACATTTTATAAGAAGATGTATAAGTACAGTTGATGATACTCTTTCACATACCTTGTAGTAGTCACATCAATCTGCTACACAGCTCCAGAAATAACAGGACGACCGCTCTGCTGTTGATACGATAACACAAACATATCTGTAGCAGTGCAACGGGAAAATTCAGCAAGAAAAACACAAACAAAAAGCAGCAACATGCAGTTGCATAAATAGCAGCACTAGCAGCAGTAACAACAGGACAAGCACCATCACCAGCAGCAACAGTAGCAACAGTTGCGGGATCATCACCAGCACCAGCAACAGTAGCAGCAATGCCAGCAGCAGTAGCAGCAGTAGCAACAGTTGCGGGACCATCGCCATCACCATCAACAGCACCACCACTAGTAGGAAAAATGACCGGGTCGAGCACTCGTCTGCAGGACAGTACGGCATCATGAAGTCATACGAGGATACAATCAATCACATCCCTGACAAAAAGTCCGGGAGGTGCGCATGGAAGAGACGGGACGCTCTGGTGGGATTTTACGGTATATACCGGTATGGTGTGTGTTGTGAAATCCTAGCCGGTACAAATTTCATGACCCTACAGTACTATAATCACATAATACATTTCTGACTTGTTACTATGGTAAAATTAGAATTCTGCAAACACACCGATATTCGCGTCAATAAATTTTCGCCATTTCCTAGAACCAGGGAGTTTACAGTGGATAATGTTCGCAAAGGACTGTGGCCACTTTCATAAACTCACTGTTCAAATTTGACTTCGCTCTGGTTAATCAATATTCACATTAGGGCCGGGTTCCACTGCGGCTCCGCGGCTCGGCTGCTCCGCGGCACTTGGCGGCATGCAGCGGAGCAGCGCGGTTCCACTGACACTCTTCATTCGCGGTACCGCGAAATCAAAAAAACCTCGTGTTCTGGCCAGCAATGAAATAAAATTAGAATTTTAAAATTCTTGCGTACAAAACAGTGCAAAGTAACGGGAAACAGGTCGAGCCGCGACTGCGGCTCTCAGTTTTTGATCAAGAATCGTAGCAAAAGGTCGCTGTGAGCCGTGGCCTCGCTGCTCCAGCTTGAGCCGCGGTCACTATGGTAATGATGACGTTTCAACCCGCGGATGATGAGCAGCGGAGCAGCGGAGCCGCAGTGGAACCTGGCCCTTACTCTCTTGTCGTGAAAATAGCAAACAATAATGTGTGGTGAGTATTGTACAGTTACCAGTAGTAACAAATAGCAGATTATTAACAATAGAAAGTCTACTTACTCACTTTACTCCAGTCTTCTGGAAGATATACTTGCATTAGAGCGTTCGGCGCACAACTACCACCATCTTTGCCCTCCAATCCTGTGATTTTTCCCGGCAGACGAATGCTACTGAATGCCACCGGGAAATCACGTCCTTTGAATCACCAACAACAGCAAGTATATTAACAACAACAGCTGAAACGAGAATAATATCAGCAACAACAGCAGCAACAATTGCTTTTTGACGACGGTACCATCGTGAGAATAAAGAATTCAAATAGCTGCAACAACAGCAAGACTAATAGCACCAACAGAAAAAGCAGCAGCAACAGCGACAACAGCAACAGAAACTGCAACAACAACAGCTGCATCTGCAGCAACAACAGCAGCAACAACAACAGTAGCAGCAGCAACAGCGACAACAGCAACAGAAACTGCAACAAAAACAGCTGCAGCTGCAGCAACAACAGCAGCAACAACAACAGTAGCAGCAGCAAAAGCAGCAGCAACAGCGACAACAGCAACAGAAACAACAACAACAACAACAACAGCAGCAGCAACAGCAACAGCAGCAACAACAGCAACAACAGCAGCAACAACAGCAACAGCAGCAGCAACAGCCGCAACAACAGCAACAGCAGCAACAACAGCAACAACAGCAGCAGCAACAGCAGCAGCAACAGCAACAGCAGCAACAAGAACAGTAGCAGTAAGAGCAGCAGGACCAGAAATAGTAGCAATGATAACAGCAATAGCAACAGTGGCAAAAGTAGCAACAGCAGCAACATCAACAGCAGACACAGCAGCAATAGCAGCAAGAGCAGCAACAACAGCAGCAGTAGTAACAGCAGCAGCAGAAGCAACAACAGTAGCAGCAGCAGCAACAGTAGCAGCAGGTGAAGATAAAAACAATGTGCAGTCCTTTCCCCAGGACAATTATCCAATTCTACCTGTTTTGATTATTAGTTTGAACACATCTAAATAGGGAAAGAAGATAGGGGCAAGATAATGTAGTTAACAATAAGATTATATTTCTCTACAAGCTGTACCTTTCTGCATTGCAGCAATATCATCCAGGTATGTGTACGTCATCAGAAATCTCACTGATCTGCATACATCTGATTCCTGTTCCCCAGGACCAGAGATGAAGCAGAGGAATAGTACAGCTACTGACAACACCATGAGTCATGATCTCTATCACAGCAGCATCACACTGTCAGCAACTCGACAAGCAACTGCAACTGCAACAGAAGCAGAGGCATAAACAGGCAAACAACAGTATCACCAGCAATAGCAGCAGTAGCAGTTTCAAGATCAGCAGCAGCAGAATCAGTGTCAAGATCAGCAATAGCAGCAGTAGCAGTGTCAAGATCAGCAGCAGCAGCAGCAGCAACAGCAACAGAGACAACGACACAACAGTTTGAATAAGCAGAGCCACCATTCCTTGGTGTCATGGGAAGGAGAGTTTGAAGAGAATGCCATGGAAATGGAAGAGATGGAATTAATGAATGAGTATGTAAAGTGCAAACAAAAAGTCCCTTCCAACCCTGTGTATAGCTGGGCATGTAACGAGGAGAAGTTGAAGTGAAACAATTATTCCATGCCCAATTCTCCCATTATACAATGCTATTCCATGTGAATATGGGTGCTGTGTGATGGGGGGGGGGGGGGGGGGGGTGGGGGTTCTAACAGTGCAGGGGTACTAGTTAATATAAAAAAAGTACCTTTCAAATCTGAACCATCCCGGCATCCGTCCATCAGCCAACAGATCACTTTGCATATGGAGACCATGGCAGAACAACCCGCTGCAAGAAGAACAACCACGCCGCCACTGCGGATAATCCCCCTGAGACAGCAACAGCAGCAGCAACAACAACATTAGCGAAACCAACAGCACAGCAACAGTACAGGTCTTGCCAGTACAGCAACAGTACAGGTCTTGCCATCACAGCAACAGTAGAGGTCTTGCCAGCACATCAATAGCTGCAGTAGTACTACCACCAGCATAGAAACACTTGCAGTATCACCAGTAGTAAACGTCACATTCAGAAATGACAGTACATGGCCAGCCGTCTTCAAGTTCTCACCAAAACTACCACAGTGTGGTCATGTGACCTGGGATTATTTTCAAACCAGATTCGTGGTATACTAGTTTAAACCCACCCATATATGGAAACAGGAGACGGGCAAGGGAAAGTAACTGACAAAAAGAAATCCTTAGACACAACCTGTACCTTACTAAGACGCAGCTCCGCCATCCAGATTTCTGCCCATCATCTGAGTACTCGCTGACACACACGTAACGGATCACTGTTCAGCACATCTGACCATGGAGGAAGCAGCAGTAACCGTAGAGACACTGGCAATGCTATCCGCAATAGACATTATGACAGCACACGAATACACACACACACACACACACACACACACAGAAAAAGAAGTGACTGCCTGAAGCAACATCAATAGCAGCCTTGGAAACAGCAGCAGCAGCAGCAGCAGAGGTAGGAGGCAGAAATAGCAGCAACGACAGGAACAGCAACAACAAAGCAGCAACAGCAACAAAAGAAACAGCAACACACAAAACACACACACCTGTCCTGTCCTGTCCTGTCCTGTAGAGCCACTGCCACAAGGGTCACGTGGGCCCGGAGGGGCAACGGAGAGAGAAGAGGAGAACGCCGTCCTACGGCGTCCCGGACACAACGAGAGGTCGTCAGGATTCAGGTCACCTACGACTTTTGCCCCGAGACTAATGTATGGCCGGAGGAGAACTTGAGCAGCGGTGTCTATTCCTCCCTGGACCGAACGGAATCAGCAGCCGCAGGACGCACAGTGCGCGCCACAACACGCCTCCACTGCGGCTGGGGACGGAGCCACACACTTGTGACGGGCAGGGCGAACACACACACACACACACACACACACACACACACACACACACACACACACACACACAAACACAGACACGAGCAGCAACAGTAGCACAGAAGGCACAGCACAGAAAGACAATGGAGTCAGGAGAAATAGCACCACCAGTAGCAATGTCAATGGTTTAATAATACTTCAGAGATTGCCCAATCGTATACATTTTATAAGAAGATGTATAAGTACAGTTGAAGATACTCTTTGACATACCTTGTAGTAGTCACATCCATCTGCTACATAGCTGCAGAAATAACAGCACGACCGCTCTGCTGTTGATACGATAACACAACCATATCTGTAGCAGTGCAATGGGAAAATTCAGAAAGAAAGAAAAGAAACAAAAAGCAGCAACATGCAGTTGCATAAATAGCAGCACCAGCAGCAGTAACAACAGGACAAGCAGCACCAGCAGCAGCAATACCAGCAGCAACAGTAGCAGCAATACCAGCAGCAGTAGGAACAGTTGCGGGACTATCACCAGCACCAGCAACAGTAGCAGCAATGCCAGCAATAGTAGCAGCAGTAGCAACAGTTGCGGGACCATCACCATCATCATCACCAGCAGCAGCACCATCACTAGTAGGACAAATGACCGGGTCGAGAACTCGTCTGCAGTACAGTACGGCATCATGGAGTTATACGAGGATACAATCAATCACTTTCCTGACAAAATGTCGGGGAGGGGTGCATGGAAGCGACGGGGCTCTCTGGCGGGATTTTAAGGTATGTACCATTACGGTGTGTGTTGTGAAATCCTAGCCGGTACAAATTTCATGACCCTACAGTACTATAAACACATAATACATTTCTGACTTGTTAGTATGGTAAAATTAGAATTCTGCAAACACACCGATATTCGCGTCACTAAATTTTCGACATTTCTTAGAACCAGGGAGTTTACAATGGAAAATGTTCGCAAAGTACTGTGGCCACTTTCATAAACTCACTGTTCAAATTTGACTTCGCTCTGGTAAATCAATATTCACATTAGGGCCGGGTTCCACTGCGGCTCCGCGGCTCGGCTGCTCCGCGGCACTTGGCTGCATGCAGCGGAGCAGCGCGGTTCCACTGACACTCGTTATTCGCGGTACCGCGAAATCAAAAAACCTCGTGTTCTGGCCTGAGCAACGAAATAAAATTTGAATTTTAAACTCTTGCGTACAAAACAGTGCAAAGCACGGGAAACAGGTCGAGCCGCAACCGTGGCTCGCTGTTTTTGATCAAGAATCGTAGCAAAAGGTCGCTGTGAGCCGCGGCCTCGCTGCTCCAGCTCGAGCCGCGGTCACTTTGGTAATGATGACGGATGATAAGCAGCGGAGCAGCGGAGCAGCGGAGCAGCGGAGCCGCAGTGGAACCTGGCCCTTACTCTCTTGTCGTGAAAATAGCAAACAATAATGTGTGGTGAATATTGTACAGTTATCAGTAGTAACAAATAGCAGATTATTAACAATAGAAAGTCTACTTACTCACTTCACTACAGTCTTCTGACAGAAATACTTGCATTAGAGCGTTCGGCACACAACTACCACCATCTTTGCCCTCCAATTCTGTGATTTTCCCCAGCAGACGAATGCTACTGAATGCCACCGAGAAATCACCTCCTCTGAATCACCAACAACAGCAACAATAGCTGCAACGAGATAAATAGCAGCAACAACAGCAGCAACAATTGCTTTTTGACGATGGTACCATCGTGAGAAAAAAGAATGCAAATAGCTGCAACAACAGCAAGACTAATAGCACCCACAGTAGAAACAACAGCAGCAAAAATAACAGCAGCAACGGCAAAGAAAATAACAGCAGCAGTAGCAGTAGCTCCAACGACGGCCGCAAGACTAATAGCACCAACAGCAGCAACAACAGCAACAGCAAAAGCAGCAGCAACAGCGACAACAGCAACAGAAACAGCAACAACAACAGCAACAGCAATAGCAGCAGCAACAATAGCAGCAGCAACAACAACAACAGCAGTAGCAAGAACAACAGTAGCAGCAGGAGCAGCAAAGACAGCAGCCACAACAGCAGCACAAGCACCAGCAACAGCTGCCCCAAAAGTAGCAGCAACAGCAGCAAAAGCAGCAAAAGCAGCAAAAACAGCAGCACCAACAGCAGCAATGCAAACAACAGAAACAGCAGCAATAACAACAACAGCGGCAGCAGCAGCAGCAGCAGAAACAACAGCAGTGGTAGCAACAGAAGAAGCAGCAACAGCAGCAACCGTAGCAACAGCAGACACAGCAGCAATAGCAACAACAGCGACAGCAGCAGCAGCAGAAACAACAGCAGTGGTAGCTACAGAAGAAGCAGCAACAGCAACCATAGCAACAGCAGACACATCGACCACAGCAGCAACGGTAGCAACAGGAATAGCAGATATAGCAGCAATACCAACAGCAGCAACAGCAGCGGCAGTAGCAGCGGCAGCAGCAGCAACAGCAGCAGTAGCAGCAACAGCAGCAGCAACAGCAGCCGCAACAGCAGCAGCAACAGCAGCAACGAAAGCAACAGCAGCAACAGCAGCAGCAGTAGCAGTAGCAGCAGCAGCAACAGCAGCAGCAACAGCAGCCGCAACAGCAGCAGCAACAGCAGCAGCAGCAACAGCAGCAGCAGCAACAGCAGCAGCAACAGCAGCAGCAACAGCAGCAGCAACAGCAGCAGCAGCAACAGCAGCAGCAGCAGCAGCAGCAGCAGCAACAGCAGCAGCCGCAACAGCAGCAGCAGCAACAGCAGCAGCAGCAACAGCAGCCGCAACAGGAGCAGCAGCAGCAACGGGACCAGAAACAGCAGCAATAACAACATCAACAGTAGCAACAGTAGCAACAGTTGCAGGTAAAAACAATGTGCAGTCATTTCACCAGGGCAATTATCCAATTCTACCTGTTTTGATTATTAGTTTCAACACATCTAACTAGGGAAAGAAGAGAGGGGCAAGATAATGTAGTTAACAAAAAGATTATATTTTTCTACAAGCTGTACCTTTCTGCATTGCAGTAATATCATCCAGGTATGTGTACGTCATCAGAAACCTCACTGATCTGCATACATCTGATTCCTGTTTCCCAGGACCAGAGATGAAGCAGAGGAATAGTACAGCTACTGACAACACCATGGGTAATGATCTCTATCACAGCAGCATCACACTCTCAGCAACTGTACCAGTAACTGCAACTGCAACAGAAGCAGAGGCATAAACAGGCAAATTGCGGAAACAACAACAGCAGCAATAGCATCCGCAGCATGACCAGCACAGCCAACACCAGCAATAGCAGCAGCAGCAGCAGTAACAGCAGAGAGACAGACACAACAGTTTGGATAAGTAGAGCCACCATTCCTTGCTGTCACAAGAAGTAGAGTTTGAAGAGAATGACATGGAAGAGAAGGAATGAATGAGTGTGTGAAGTGCAAACAAAATGTCCCATTCAACCCTGTGTATAGCTGGACATGCAAATATACACATAGAGGCTTACGTACACTGCAGACAAGAGTGGTGATCTAGATATGCAGTGGTTAAAACTTAGATAACTCACTTTGTAATGTATAGACAACACTGGTACGAGTATGAGAGTTGTTTGTAATGAGGAGAAGTTGAAGTCAGACAATTATTCCATGCACAATTCTCCCATTATACAATTCTATTCCAAGTGAATATGGGTGCCGTGTGATGGGGAGGGGGGGGGGACGGAGCGGGGCAGGGGTTGGGGGTGATAACAGTGCAGGGGTACTAGTTAATAAATACGAGAGAGCTTGGAAGCTCAGGGCCCTGCGCTATGCTTCGTTGCCTAGCTCCTCGTGCATGTTGTTAGAACTGATGGAAATGCTTTTTTCTTTGATTAGCTACATCATTGGATTCGAAAACCGTTTCAGTGAGATACTGAAGTAACGTCTTCTGCATAGCTATGGGACCGGCGCTGACTCTGCCGATCACGGGCGTTCTAGAGTCGACGGGATGTCTGTCCTGACGTTTCCTGGGACCGGCGCTGACTCTGCCGATCACGGGCGTTTATCTTCTTCTTATTATTATACTGACGGCAACTAACATCCATTCTGATTGCATTTACTCGTCTCCCTACTTCGTATTTCTTTCCAGAGAATCTCCCCATACAGCAGGGAGTCGTTTACATAATATGACTCCCTGCTATACATCTACATGACTGTATAAACGCTATAATTATTATGCTATCCGCCTACATGCGATTCCCGGGCTGGTCGACAGGCAGCCCAGCCAGCCTGCTAGTGGGATCTTGGCCTCGCACACAAATCCACACAAAATGTTACTGCACTGAATGCATTCCCCCGATACACTTCGCATATATATATCCTCATTCTCTTGATGGTACCGTACTCTTAATGGTACGAGACAGGTACGGGATAGCGCCAGGCATGTCGATGGCACAAACAAACAAAAAGATTGTGGCCAGCTATCTTTGCTGGTACGGTACAGTACGGGACAGATACGGGATAGCGCCAGGCGTGACACAAACAAACAAACAAACAAACAAACAAACACCAAATTAAAGCTGTGTGGACCCTGGCTAGCGCCAGACGTTACTGAAGTAACGTCTTCTGCATAGCTACGGGAATAAATGTACCTTTCATTTCTGAACCATCCCGGCATCTGTCCATCAGCCAACATATCACTTTGCATATGGAGACCTTAGCAGAACAACTCGCTGCTATAAGAGCAACCACGCCGCCACTGCGGAAAATACCCCTGAAACAGTAACAGCAGCAGCAACAACAACATTAGCAAAAGCAATAGCACAGCAACAGCACAGCAACAGTAGAGGTCTTGCCAGCACAGCAACAGTAAAGGTCTTGCCAGCACAGCAACACTAGAGGTCTTGCCAGCACAGCAACAGTACAGGTCTTGCCAGCACAGCAACAGTAGAGGTCTTGGCAGCACAGCAACAGTACAGGTCTTGCCAGGACAGCAACAGTATAGGTCCTGCCAGCACAGCAGCTACAATAGTTGGCAGCACATCAATAGCTGCAGTAGCACTACCACCAGTATAGAAACACTTGCACAAGCAGTAGCACCAGCAGTAAACGTCACATTCAGAAATGACAGTACATGGCCAGCCGTCTTCAAGTTCTCACCAAAACTACCACAGTGTGGTCATGTGACCGGGGATTATTTTCAAACCAGATCCGTGGTATACTAGTTTAAACCCACCCATATATGGAAACAGGAGACGGGCAAGGGAAAGTAACTGACAAAAAGAAATCCTTAGACACAACCTGTACCTTACTAAGATGCAGCTCTGCCATCCAGATTTCTGTCCATCATCTGAGTACTCGCTGACACACACGTAACGGATCACTGTTCAGCACAGCTGACCATGGAGGAAGCAGCAGTAACAGTATAGGCACTGGCAACGCTATCCGCAATAGACACTATGACAGCACATGAACACACACACACACACACACACACACACACACACACACACACACACACACACACGCACACAAACACACACACACACAACTCAGACCTCAGACATGCCCATCGGGGAAGCGATGATAGCGAACAGCTTTGTTAGACATAGCAACTTGTGCTGGGATTACACCATTCAACAGCTTGCAAGGCTGATGAATTTACCGCCATTATTTTTAGCCTGGTATCCACCACACAGCTGTTTGAAGCGACTTGTTCTGGCCCGTGAATCCCTATTTTTAATTTTTTTCACACACACACACACACATACAGAAGGAGACGTGACTGCTGCAGCAACATCACCAGCAGCCACAGAAACAGCAGAAACAGCAGCAGTAGCAGTAGAGTTAGGAGGCAGAAATAGCAGCAGCAACAGGAGCAGCAGCAACCGCAGCAGCAGCAGCCACAACAGCGAGAGCAACAACAGCGAGAAGCAACAGCAGCAAAGCAACAGCAGCAGCAAAAACAGCGACAGCAACAGCAGCAGCAACAAAAGCAGCAAGAGTAACACACAAACACATACACACCTGTCCTGTCCTGTTCTATCGAGCCACTGCCACAAGGGTCACGTGGGCCTGGAGTAGCAACGGAGAGAGAAGAGAAGAACGCCGTCCCACGGCGTCCAGGACACAACGAGAGGTCGTCAGGATTCAGGTCACCTACAACTGTGACCCCGTAACTGACGTATGGCCGGGGGAGAACCTGAGCAGCGGTGTCTATTCCTGCCCTGGACCGAACGCAAGCAGCGGGTGCAGAACGCACAGTGCGCGCCACAACACGCCTCCACTGCGGCTGGGGACTGAGCCACACACTTGTGACGGGCAAGGCCAACACACACACACACACACACACACACACACACACACACACACACACACACACACACACACATACACTACACATACACACACACACACACACACACACACACACACACACACACACAGGAGCAGCAACAGTAGCACAGAAAGCACAGCACAGAAAGACAATGGAGTCAGGAGAAATAGCACCACCAGTAGTAATATCAATGGTTTAATAATACTTCAGAGATTGAACACTCGTATACATATTATAAGAAGCTGTAAAGTACAGTTGATGATACTCTTTGACATACCTTGTAGTAGTCACATCCATCTGCTACACAGCTACAGAAATAACAGGACGACCGCTCTGCTGTTGATACGATAACTCAAACATATCTGTAGCAGTGCAACGGGAAAATTCAGCAAGAAAAAAATAAAAACAAAAAGCAGCAACATTCAGTTGCATAAATAGCAGCACCAGCAGCAGTAACAACAGTAGCAGCAACAGTAGCAGCAACAGTAGCAGTAACAGTAGCAGCAATACCAGCAGCAACAGTAGCAGCAATACCAGCAGCAGTAGGAACAGTTGCGGGACCATCATCATCACCAGCAACATCACAGGGGCGTCGGAACCGGTGCGGCTGGTGCGGCCAAAGCCGCACCAATAATTTTGGAAGTTTTTTTTTTTTTTTTTTTTTTTTTTTTTTTTTTTTACATTTTCAACCTTGTTGATGGCTTGTCGACTCTTGTACAGGTACCATGTTTTACATCGACAATGCGGTGTGTCATCAGCATGCATATTCTTATTTCTCATAATATTCGGTAGCATTAAAAATATGGCCTTTTAGGCCCAATTTTCAAAAAAAATCCCGGGGGAGGACCCCCGGACCCCCTCTCACACTTTCGCCGCACCAATGTTAAACTGCTTCCGACGCCCCTGCATCACCATCACTAGTAGGACAAATGACCGGGTCGAGCACTCGTCTGCAGTACAGTACGGCATCATGGAGTCATACGAGAGTACAATCAATCACTTCCCTGACAAAAAGTCAGGGAGGGGCGCATGGAAGAGACGGGGCGCTCTGGCGGGATTTTATGGTATATACCGGTATGGTGTGTGTTGTGAAATCCTAGCCGGTACAAATTTCATAAGCCTACAGTGCTATAATCACATAATACATTTCTGACTTGTTAATATGGTAAAATTAGAATTCTGGAAACACACCGATATTCGCGTCAATAAATTTTCGCCATTTCGTAGAACCAGGGAAAATGGGACCTCAACCAGGGAAAATGTTCGCAAAGGACTGTGGCCACTTTCATACACTCACTGTTAAAATTTGACTTCTCTCTGGTTAATGAATATTCCCATTAGGGCCTGGTTCCACTGCAGCTCCGCGGCTCGCCTGCTCCGCGGCACTTGGCTGCATGCAGGGGAGCAGCGCGGTTCCACTGACACTCGTCATTCGTGAATGACGAGCTCCACGGTTATTTTGCTCCACGGTTATTGACGATGTTTCACCTGCCTGCGCGCATGCGTGAAATCAAAAAACCTCGTTTTCTGGCCTGCGCAACGAAAAAATTTGAATTTTACAATTCTTGTGTACAAAACAATGCAACGTACGGGAAACAGGTCGAGCCGCGACCGCGGCTCGCAATTTATGATCAAGAATCGTAGCGAAAGGTCGCTGTGAGCCGCGGCCTTGCTGCTCCAGCTCGAGCCACGGTCACTATGGTAATGATGACGGATGATGAGCAGCAGAGCAGCGGAGCCGCAGTGGAACCTGGCCCTTACTCTCTTGTCGTGAAAATAGCATACAATAATGTGTGGTGAATATTGTACAGTTACCAGTAGTAACAAATAGCAGATTATTAACAATAGAAAGTCTACTTACTCACTTCACTACAGTCTTCTGGCAGATATACTT